AAAGTGGTAGCCTTGGAATTTATACCCAGTTAAATTCTACTACGTGTCAAGGCAACAGAAGGTTATCCTTAGCAAGTTTTCAACCACTTGCCCTTCTAAAGAATATTAAAAGATAGTACAACACGTTAAGACAAGAAGCAAGATTAATATATACAGAATGTAGAGGAGTGGATATGTAGTCTGAGTACCAAAGGGGAAAAAAATGAAGCATTAAAAAAAGAGTAAGACTGCTAACAAAATGATAAATAAAAGACCAAGTGTTATTCAATAAGCATGATGTTTTAAAATTTATGTGCTCTTTGCAAGAAATATACTTTAAAACAATCTTAATAGAATACAAATAAAAGGATCAGAGCTATCACAGGCAAATGTAAGCAAACATTAAGGGTTTCAATGTTAGTATCGAGAAAGCTATGTCAAAAAGCAATACTGTTACAAATGGGTTTATGTTACTTACACTAATATTTTAATCCTTAATTCATGTAATGATTGCCTATTAAATGCCTGCTATTTGCATTAGGCAAGGGTATATGTTGCTGAAAAGTAAAGATATAACTGTAATGAACACATATGCTTAAAACAATATAAATTCAAAACATACAAAGCAAAATATGTTGAAATGCATGGAGAAATTTTCAGAGACAATAGAGAAAAATTTAACAAACCTCTCAGCCTTTGGTAGAGCAAGTAAACAAATAAAAAATATGTGATAATATCTCTTACACATAAGAAGTCTGAAAAAGAATTTTATAGCTTACAACTTGAGACTGATTCACTTTTTTAGCCACCATGAAACTTTTACAAAACTTGAGTGCATGAGGCCACAAAAAATTGCAATAAATTCCAAAAGCAGGCACTGTACACAGTAAATGCTCAAAAGAATGCAGGGAAACTAGAAATGGTAACAAAACTATAAAATAAATTTAAAAATACTCTGTGAAATCCTTAGTTAGGAATCAACTCAGAGCCTCAGTTACAGTCTGTTTAGAAATTAACTTGGGACCATCCTCTGCCACAGCCGGGCTAGGGACTGCTTTCTGCTGCTGGGGTGCTTTGTCTGGAGCCTGGGCCTTAGGCTTGGCCTCCTTTGGTACACAGCACCCAATTCCCAGATGCCTATGGGAAGGACCTCTTTGACAGGCCAACAAACACCACTTTGCACACAGCCTGGCCCTGTTAAGGGTGCCGCATTGCCAAAGGCTCCTTTGGGCTAGGTTACTATTAGCCTCTGGAACCACCTTAGTCTGCACCAGCTTTTACTACCAGGCTCCGAGTGGAGACCCGAGTGCCCAGACTTTGGTCCTTATGGGCGGGAGCCTGATATTTGTGGGATGGCTTGATTTGGCTCTTTGAACTTTCCTGTGTTTAATTTCTGGGCACTTTTTAGAGAGTTGGAGCAGGGAAGGGATTAAAAGAGAAAGGCAAATAAAGAAGGGGGAAAAAAAAAGAAGAAATGAACTTGGTTCTGTGAAATAATGCAGGAATGCCCAGAAAGATTGGGTCTTCGAGTTAGAGTCCTAATGCAGTAAGCCTGATGTTTCCATCAGGCTCAGGGATCAGAAGACCTGGCAAGCCCATAGGAGGCAGGTGGGTAGCCATCAGGGGGAGAAAGAGCACTGCTGATAGAGTCCTTTAGACCTGGATTCTAGTCCTGCTTCCACCTCTTATTGTCTATGATGGACATCTTGATATCTCTCCATTTCAGGACCTCAATCTGCTATCCAACACTAGAGGTGCTGAACCTTATCAGTGGTTCTCAACCCTCATTATATCATAATTATGAGGGTTATCATAATCACCTAGGAAATTTTAAATAATACTGATGCCTGGGCTCTAGGCCCAGAGATTCTGCTTCAGTTAGTCTGGAATGGGACCAAATCATAAATATGTTTCAGAATTTCCCCAAGTGATTGCAATGTGCAGCCAGTGTAGAGAACCCCAGAGCTAGATGATTTCTCAGATTCGTCCAGTTCTGAAGTTCAGCAGTGCTAATAGGCACCTGCAGTCTTTGCCCATGGAAGAAAGTTTTAGGAAGCCAAAGCTAGAGGAACAGTGATGCAAAGCAATCTAATCAAAGTGTGCATTATCTCAAATGGTGCAGAAAATGTCAGTGCCAGTTAATATTTTGCACCCAACATGATTTAGACCCGGGCATATATTGTACTCCAAGCCTGTTGTAAACACAATGGGTCATTTATTCACTGAACAGTAACCACTGTAATTACCTACAGGGCAAACATATGAGGTTGTTCAAGCTACAATTAATTGTAGACCTGGAACTAACGGGACAATAACGATAAAGTATCAACCAGAGTGTGATTCAGAAATCACATCAGAAAACCAGTATTTTCTAAATTGTATTAGATAAGCATTTTTGGGGATGTGATGGAACATATGCCATCCCAGGACCTGAAATAGTTGCTCCCCCATTTTTCTAATACCTCTTTCTTACACTGGTGACCGCAGGAGGCTTGCAATGTTGTTTAATCTTGAGACAAGAATCATGGACCCTCCATTTGAGGGGACTGTGGAGAGCTTCTCTTTCTTGTGCTCACTATGAACCCAAATATCACCTGAGGGCAGGGGTGCTTATTTGGGTCTCTGTGAATCTGATGGAAGCCATGGATCCTCTTTTCAGAAAAATGTGTGTGTCTATACACACACACAAGCTTTTTCATACAGTTTTTGAGGCATTCACAACACCTTGAAGCCCCTGTGTGTTCTCACTGGGTCATTGTCCAGCTTCCATTTGCATGCCTGCAGACACAGAAATCTCACTACTTCCAAGAGCAGGCCTTCCTTTGCTGGGCAACTCTGAGAGTAAGTGCTGAGAGTAAGTCCAGCTGAGATTGTCCTCTATGTAGGTTCTTCCCATTGGTCCTTTCTCTACCCAGAATTGTGTTTAACAGTTACTTTATCCTTGACGCCCCCCCGCCCCAGTCTCTCTGTGGTGATCTTGAAAATTGGTTCCTATATGTACGCTAGCTCCAGGTGACAGCAGATGGGATGTGGTGTGTTCAGCTCCAGCAAATGGGATCTGTTGAGCCCTGAGTGGATGCAGGAGATCCAGGGGTCCTGGGTAGTGGCTGTCCACCCTCAGAGCCAGACCAGGAAAGGGGGCAAGGTCTCCACTGCCCCACTCTGCTGCAGACTTCAGGGGAAGGAAGAGCTGAAATAGGACAGTATGAAGTATGGATCCAGAGCTGCTGCTGAGGCAACAAGGGCTCAGAGAGCACGTGCTGGCAGCCAGGTGAGCTTGCTTCGGCCACGCCCTCCCCTGATGGCGGATTTAAGTGAAACAAAAAAAGGAAGGAAAGAAGGCAAGAAGGGAGGGAGGGAGGAAGAGAACAGAGGGAAGGAGGGAGAGGGAATGTCAGAAGGACTAGAAGCAACCATGAAGGAATTTTTTTTAATCTTGGAGAGGGAAAGACCTTTCTAAATTTGACACAAAACCTGAAGACATAAAAGGGAAAAAATGCTAAATTCAACCACATTAAAAAAAAAACTTCTATATAGCAAAAGATACTATGAGAAACATCAAAAAAGAAGTAAAAACCAGGGGAAAAATTAACAACTTACATCACCATGTGCTAATTTCCTTAATATACAAGATCACTTCCATCAACTGATAAAAAGACTAAGAATAAAATTCGAAAATAGGCAAAAGATTTGAACAGTTTCCAGAAAGAAACTACAAATTGCTCTTAAACATAGGAAGAGATATCAACCTTGCTCATAATCAGGTAAATGCAAATGAGAACTACAAGATGCCATTTTTCCACCCTAGCACTGCAAAGATCAAAAGTTTGATAACCATCTTCTGTAGATGAGCTGAGGGGAAAGGACAGCAGAGATCAGTGGAAATGTGATGGAAGAGGTGACATTTAAGCTGGGCCTCATAAGACAGATAATTAAAATCCAACTTAGCAACATGGTGGCACTTAAAGAAAAAATATTAAAGGCAAAGATGGACAGATCTGACTACTGAGTGTAAATTAAAATACACACAAAACGCACACAACATTGGAGTGTTTGCAGCAACTCTAAGCCTGAGTTTGATGCTACACATGTAAAATGTCTTCAGTAAACTGAATAAGAAAAACATTCCAATAATACTCAAAAAATAAACAAAGGACATGAAAAAACAATTCCTAAAATAGAACATGCTACTCACTAACAACCACATGGAAAAAGGGTCAAATTATGCATAACCCATGAATGCAATGTGATCCAGGTTTTTCTAGAGATAAGTCAGTATAAAATTAGGTAGAAAAATGTTTTATTTCCCTCTGTTGAGAAGAATCTGGTGAAATTGGCCTTCTGGTTATACCTGGTCAGTGGGTTTGTAAAAATCCTTTTTGGAAATAAGTTTCAGTCTTTAAAAGCTCATATACTTTATCTGGAAAATTTTGTATCACAGACTATATCCTACAGAACTAGCCTGAAATGAGGGGGGGAAAAGCTGTGCACAAAAAATCTTATAGGACAATATGATGATACTGACAGATTAGAAACAATGTAACTGCCCCCAAATTAGAGGTGATTCCATAAATCCTGGTACGATCATTTGGAATATTATGCAGCTATTCAACTGTTTGCAAGGAGTTTTTAACAGAATTGTTACATGCTTATAGGATACAGTTAAGTGGGAAGAAAACAGTTCAATTGTGTAGGTAGAATAGTCTCAAGAATCTTCTTTGAGAAAAAATTGCTGTGCATGGAAAAAGGACCAGAAAGAAACAGACTGTAACATTAATGGTGGTTCTTTGGGGAGGGGTAAATTATAGGTCTGCTTGTTCCAATTTTGTCCTTATTTTACTTTAAAAAAAAACACTCTTCAGTTATGATTTATTACTTTTCCAGTAAAAGGGCTTAAAAAATATTATGCCCCTAGTGTTGGCGCCCATGTCAGACTACAGGTGTCAATTCTGTTTGGAAGGATCCTGGGTCCCCAGCCATGAGGCGCACCAGTAAGTGTTTGTCTCTTTTGTGTTTTTCAGCTTTCCTTTGCCGCCACCACTCCCGTCCTAGCTGACAAGAAGAAGTACCCTTATTTCTTTCGGACTGTCCCATCAGACAATGCTGTGAACCCAGCCATCCTCAGGCTGCTAAAGCACTACCAGTGGAGGCGAGTGGGCACGCTGACTCAAGACGTGCAGAGGTTCTCCGAGGTATGTTTGCCAAGGGGACACGTTCTCACCTCCCTGTTACTGCTGTCATCTCCTGGCAAGGGGCAGTGTGGCTTAGTCAGGGACGGGGACTATCACAGGGCTTGTAAGCATGCTGTTAGTGGCAGGATCAGGGCTGTTTTGCCCTTAGAGCTGATCATGATAGAGCTGGTGGCTGAGGAATTCTACTTTGCATGGGAGAGGGAGAAGCCTCCATCCTAGGTAATTCAGGAGTGAAACCTTCCCTGTCAGTGTGGCGTTTGGCTAAATTGTGTGGCTCATTCCCTCACTGGCCCTGTAGGTCTGCTGTCATTGCTCCTGATGCTTAGTGACCAGCTGAAGTCTCTGTGTGCTGCCAAGCCTATTTCTCCTGTGAGGAGGACTTTGGGGAGGAGCTGGTTTGGAATGAAGACTTCCATGTCACTGTGAACTGGATGTGGCTTTTGTATTTTGTTTGTTTTAATGGCTTACAAACATACATCATATGTTTTAATTTTTGCAAAAAAAAAAAAAACCTTAAAAATATATAGTTAAAAAAATATAAGGGTTACTTTACCCAATACCCCTGAATCCTACTTTCTCTCCCAAATGAAGTCCTGCCTTTGGTGTTCAACTGCCCAGAATTTTCAATTTATTTTTTAAACCCAAATGATTTCATATTATATATTTTTGCTTTTTTCACTTTACAACCAATCTTAGAGATCTTGGTTGACCTCATTCTTATTAATGGGCCATGGTGTTCTGTCAGATGGATAACTGGTGATTTATTGAATGTTTACAGCTTTTTGATATCACAGCTAACAGCTTCCCACCTAGGTGTGCATCTTCATAATAGATTTCTCGAAGTGGAATTACTGGGTCATTTAAAATACTGAGGCAAACTGACCCCTAGACAGGTTGTTCTGATTTGTAGTCCTACCAAAATTCCCATTTCCACACATCCTCACCAACATAGATATTAGCAAATGTTTGAAAAGTTTTCCTCATTCAAATGAGTGCAAAATGGTCTTGTCTTTTTTCCTCCTCCTGACAGCTCCTACTTTCTTTTCTGCTCCCCTTTGTGTTCTTAATGCCTGGAGCTTCCCAACAAGGCAAGCACTCCAGGTGTGCTTAGCAGCCCAAGAGAACAACCTGGAAGCTGCGCAGGGCGGACATTTGTGAGTCAGGTGTCCAGGGGAACTTTAGTGGGAAACAGCGGGTTGGGGGAGGACCCTCCCTTCTTGCAGGTGGCGAGCTGACAAGGAATGTGGGGCCAGGGCAAGGCTGGGAGTCGCCAGACCTCGCTCCCCTCCAGCCCCGCACTTCCCTGTCTAAGGCTCTGCCCCGCCTCTCTCACAGGGAACAGAGGCCACTCAGTGGTTCAGCTGTGCGACCTTGGAGAAGTCACCTCATTTCTCTAAGATGTGGCTAACTCCCCTGTAAAATGGTGACAAAAACTCTTCCCTGCAGGGTTCTTGGCAAAATGAAATGAGTTGTGGATCTGAAAGAGCTTTGTACGCTGTGAAGTTCATGCACAGAGAGAGCTGTTTTGGGAGGTGGTTGAAAAGCAGCAGTGTTTGGCCCCACTGTCTGCGGGGTGCCCAAGCAAGGCAAGTTTTTCCCAGGCAGCACCGCTTCATCTTCCTGCCTTGCGGTGTCTCAGTCCCTAGGGAGAGGCACAAGGCGAGCTCCTCCTCCAGTGGCAGCGACTCATTGCCAGTCACTGAGGAGGCTTGTGCTGGAAGACTGCCTTTTGTACAGCACTGAAGAAATATTCTGACATGAGTGCCAAGCAGGTTGATGGTAAGGGTGGGAGGCCTAGTCCAGCATCCCCCTTAACGCGGGACTCTGCGGCAACTTAGAAGGGCCTGCTGTTTCCCAGTCGTCTTGGGCTGTCAGAGCCTGAGGTGCCCTCAGGCTCCTCTTTGTATAGAAGGAGAAACTGGGGCCCAAAGAGGGGAAGGGGTAAAGTTCAGGGTTTCAAAGCCCCTCTGAAGTCATGAGAGATTGTTAACAGAAAAGTCAGAACTGAACTGAGGATCTGGACTCCCAGTCCAGACTTCCCATTGCTCTTTCCTCCCATCTTTAACTTCTTATAGTCACATGGGAACTGCACGTGACCTCAGAGCCTTGAAATACTCAAAAGCCTTCTAAGGAAGGTCAGTTATCAGCCCCAACTTGGTTGAGTGCTTTATAGATTCCCAAATTGTCTCAAAGTCAGCCTCCCTCTAGGGAGGGGTTATGGTTCCCATTTTATAGGTGAGGACACTGAGGCTTATGGAGGGTATGTCGCTTCTTGCCTAAGGGCACGTGCTGGTGAAGGACCCACCAGAGGCTGGGAGCCTGAGTCTCTGGACTCTCAGTCGTTGTCTTCTCCATTACCCCATCCGCACTGAGCCTGTACTGAGTTTGGTACCATATCTCCTCCCTGCAGTGTTAGGCTCCTCAGCTGAGGTTTCAGGGCATCTCAGCAGGTAACCTCTGTTCTGAGGACAGGATGTTGCTTGGTGGTATTGCTGGCAGGGACTCCTCTCGATTTAAATCCCTCAGCCCAGCTGACTCCTCTCTGTGCCCAAGAGTTTTGGCATCTCTCCCCCAATGTCTGGGCTGCATCACTGGAGTTCAGGCCCTGGACACTGGCCAGCAGCTAACAGCTTTTTGTGAGTGCAAAGGAAACTGGATTCCTTTTATGAAACTGGTCGATCAGCAGCATTAAGCCCCTCGGTTCCAGACCGGTGCAGTGGAAGGAATGTCAGAAGGAAGCACTCCTGAAGTTGGAGGGAACGGGGGTGAAATCTTCACCCCGTGAAGCTTATTACATTGGGACTGAAGGTGGGGAGGGCTGGGGGCATCCCACCTCGGGACCAGCTGCTCCTCCGGGCCCCCAGCTGCTGAGCTCAAGGCTGGTGCATGGTGCCGAGGCTGCTTAAACTTGGATCGGATGAGCTGACCTTCAGGCCCAACTTTGACAACCATGTCTGCGTAACCGCAGGCAATCCCACTTCACCCTGTTGTCTCAGGTGTGTCAGATCTAGAGCTGCTACTGGAACAAACAAGGGTCCCTGGGGAACACCAGTGTCTGAAAAGATGGAGCTTACTTCAACCCTCTCTCTCTGGATCAAATATTTAAATGAGATGAGAGAAGAAGGAAGGATTTGGTGCCACATGGACTGATCTCTGGGCCCAGCTTTGCTAAGCAATGACTGTGCAGCCCCAGGCAACTCACTGCAGCTCAGTAAGATCCCTGGGGTAACCACACAGGCCTTGGGAGATGACAGAGCTAGATGAAGAAACATAAATGAAAGACCTTTACATGGACATTCTCTGCTCCACTAATTCCTGGGACAAACTATAGGCATGCAAAAATAATCATATGGCCTTTGTGTGCTAATGTCTGTGTTGGGCACAGGCTTTGTGCTGTGAGGGTGAGTGAGGAACAGTCATGGCCTCAGGGTCAGTGGGTGTCAGGCCCCCTTGGTTGGGTTCTCGACTCTGGCCTGGCTGCTCATTAGAATCACCAGGGGGAATGTTTTTAACACAAAATAAAATTTAAATTCCTAAGTATTTCCACCTTTTAATAGCTTTATTGGGATATAATTTATATACCAAACACTTTATCCACTAATGTACACTTTGCTTGTTTTAGTTAATTTATGTGGCTGTTCAACCAGGACCACAGTCCCGTGTTAGAACACTCCTATTCCTCCAGAACGTCCCTCACTCCCATATGCAGCCAGTCCCACGCCCAGCCCCAGGTTCTTTTGCTTGCTCTGAAGTTTTGCCATTTCTGGAAATTTCATATAAGTAGAGTTCATATAACTCTCTACATAGCATGTGCTTTCCTGTGTCCGGGCTTCTTTCATTTAGCAAAATGTTTTTAAGGTTCATCCAGGGAGTGTGAATCAGTAGGGTGTTTCTTTATACAGCTGAGTAGTATTCCCCTCTATGGGTAGGACACATTTTAGAATCACATGGAGAGCTTTTAAAATCCTGATGCCCAGGCCCCCTTCCCTCAGAACACCTGCATTAGATGACCCCAGCGTTAGAGGAGTTCAAACTCTCCAGGTCATTTCCCTCCACCGCCCAAGGCTGGCATGCTGTTCTCAACAGGCTCAATCAGGAATTGAGGGTGGAAACGGCGCCCTCTTGTGATGGGAGCCCTTGCTCTTGGAGCAGCCCCAGCCAGCACAGCAGCCTGACTGCCCTCAGCAGGCCTGGTGACTGAGGTCAGGGTGGAGAAGATGGTGGCCTCGACCCAGCCCTGGGGCTCCATCAGGTAGAAGGCAAAGGTGGGGACAGGTGATGAAAACTGAGGGTAATGCAGAAAGGGTGGTCATGAGGACCACATGGAGAAGGATAGGCAGGTAGATGGCCCATAGGCTTAGAGGATGTGGATTTCTGGAAGTCTCTGAGAAGCTTGAGGGTGTGGGAGTAAGGGAGCTGGAAGGACAGGAGGCTGTGATCTGAGCTGGGAGGGATGTGGGGATGAAGGGACCAGGCCCTGGCTGTGTGTAAAAGCTAAAGCAGCATAAGTAGAGGTCGCTGGAATTAGGGATTCCAAGGAAGTGAGAGGCCAGAGGGCTGAGTGACATCCATGTGGGCACTGCAGGCACAGGATGCAGACGGGGCTTGGGGTGGGCATAAAGGCTGTGAGAAGGATGCCTGGGAGGACCGGCAGACAGCTACAGGGGTATATGGCCTCCATCTCCAGCTCCAGGTCTTGTGGTCTACTAATCCAGCTTCACCAAGTTACTCTCTTAGTTCCCAGTCCCATGACGCAACTAACCAGCTAAGTATCCTTGGAGAAATCACTCAGCTCTCTAGGCCTGTTTCCCCTCTCTAAGATAAGGTTGTTGGGCCATTTGACCTCTAAGATCTCTCCTAGCTCGGAGAATGTGCGATGAGGGCTTAGGAGATGTGCCCATTGACCCTGACCCTGCTGCCCCCTAGGATGTGGCCATAATTACTTAGCCTCTTTGTGCCTTAGTTTCCTCATTCTGAAAATAGGGGCAATGATGGTACCT